GCCAGTCAACTTCTCCTATCGCCAGTAAACTCACTTACCTGGCTAATAATGTAAAATACTATAAAAAAGTGTCAAAATTTGCATTCTTCTCCATTGAGTGTGAATTCGATCGGAAAGTTTATCTAGATATCAGTCAGTTTTTTAGAAGTGTCGAGGTGATTTTGTAAAGTAGGTACGTTGTTAGCTCTGAATCGCCAAAAGCACCTAGAAGTAAGTGCGTTTGTTTTTTATTATTTTGGAGAGAATCGAGGATGCACAAGTGTGTCAAAGTCACATTTCCGGCTAAGCGGTTGAAGCAATTTAAACCAAATTTGGTACACATATTCTTAGACATAAAAGGGCAAAATAGCGCATGCGCAGTTGGGGAGGGGGAGGGGTAGTACCTGTGCTAGCCACAGCACATTTTTTGAAAAATTTTTTTGTTATTATTTATTCCAGTTCGAATTGAATAGGTGTATTCATAGCTTAAGTGTACAAACAGAGTGGAAGCAGGTTTGTCGCTTTCCGGTATCTCGCGCCGATAGGAGCAGGTTTCTCGCGCTATGACTGACTGCACACAATAAAAGCGAGAAAAAGCGAAGCCGGTGGCGCAGTCCACAGTGGTGGTTGCGTTGCCGACTGCTATTCGGGAGGTTCGTTTCTTGTATGCAGTGATTATTACATCCCTAGATACTACGGTCTACGGAATTTTTTTTTTTTGGCTTTTCTCGGGATCAATGCCCATTTAGCCGCGATAATGAAAGGAAACCTAATGTCATTAATTAACGGCACACACTTCTCGCCAAGAGGTCTGTCATGGCCTTTCATGTAGACATCACAGGTTGCGACCTTGGATAGATAGGAAGAACGGTTAAACAAAGGTTAGACACTTAGGAGTCGATTAGGAGGGTAAATCTTTGATCTTTAAATATTTAGCCCAATGTTGATTAGATATTCTATGACTATGTCATATGTGGATTTAGAGTTAGCACACATGAGCGTAGGGATGTTCAACGGCAATTGTGTTCCTCTTTCGATTAACCGAGAGTACATATGATTAATGAACGGCATCCTCAACGCGCAATTAAAAATATATGATTCAAGTCGCCAATCTCCGCCCCGCACATACACATTGGCGAGTCAACCACCCCAATTCTGTGGAGATGAGAAGGAAATCGTCCATGTCCGAATTTAAGACGTACAATTGAGGCGTAGTATTTTTTTCGGATATGATGTTTGATGTACCATGGTTTGAATTTCACCGTGGGCTGAATTGTACTATACTGCGTTCTCCGTTCTTCATAGTACTCTTTCCAATGATTATCCCACTCGTCTAACATATTGCCTTTAAAGAAATTGAGGAGGTCGGACTTTGGGGTATCATAACTGAGTTTAACCCCATCTTGCGCTGCCTGTTTCGCTAATCCGTCTACCATTTCATTAGCATGTATCCCGGAATGGGCCTTGATCAAGAAAAATTTGACCATATGACCTTTCTGAATAATTTTAAAGGACTCCGCTATGATTGCTGTAATTATCGGGTGGGTGTGAAAGTAATGCTTCCTCTGATTGATTCCGGCCAAAACACTCCTGCTGTCTGACATAATAGCAAGGTTCTTAGTTACCCTGTGGATCTTAAAGTATTTTAATGCTTCGAGTATTGCTATTGCTTCCGCTGTAAAAATGGATACGATTTCTCCAAGTTTAAATAACTTGGACACCTTGTTCGAAAGCTGGTAGAATGCACAACCAACTCCCTTCTTGCTTTTTGAGCCGTCTGTAAATATAACCTTCCACCCTTTTAGGTCTTCTAAGATGTTATAGTACTGCTGTATATCGATGATTAAATTTCCCATATACCTTGGAAAGTACGTCTGGAGGATCCTAGTGTAGAAATCATGGTATGACGCCTCCGGTTTCTCTTGTACGCAAGGGGGCATGTTTATATCGTGAACGTAAACACAGGCAACTGCGAGTGGCGGCGATTTCGTTTTCGACCAAAAACTCGATCAAAGGACATTAACTTATAGAGGGTGTTGTGAATATCGACCAGATTTAATGTTTTAACCTTAGTGACGTATTTTACGGCCAAGTATTTAATTCGGAAGTTGAGTGGTGGTCGCGAGCTTCCACATACAGCGCCTCCACAGGTGTAGATTTCATTGCCCCAATACAATGTCTTAACGCTTTATTTTGGACGACTCTAATTCGTTGCAATGCTGCTTCGCTAGCTGACCCGTATAATTGAAGTCCATACTCTATTAAGCATCTCGTATGCGCTTTATATACCTTTCACGCGGTTGGCAGGTCCATTCCCCACCCCACTCTCGTCATCAAACGTAAGACGTTCAGTGATTTCTCACATTTTTTGGTCACCAGGTGTATATGTTCTGACCAATTTAATTTATAATCCAATATGAGCCCTAAATACTTGAAACATCGCAATAAGTTAGCTACCTCTGACTACAATGAACTGAGCAGTTTAACTTCTGATCAATTGTGACTACTAGAAACTTAATTTGTGTTCAGTTTTCTACATTGTGACTGAGTCTCAACTTGAAAATACGTTTTCGGGTTTTTGTTTGATTAATTTTTAATTTATTATTTAGTAATCATCGTTCGATATTGACAATAAATTTGCTCATCATCCTCTAATTAGCCTAATTCGTGACTCAATGAAGTTGGGTCATCTGCATAAAGAATAACATTATCAGGTTGAGTTAAAAAAAGGCAAGAAAATTACACATTACATTACTAGCGAGGAAATTTGTATTAAGGCTTACCCGAAATCGGATTTTAATATAAAATTTCAATTTTCGTATAGAACATTTGATTAATATCAATCTGTCGGTGATCAAAGGAGTCATTATAGACATTTAGCACTGTGACAGGTGCGTCCGGTAAAGTGACGGGTGCGGCCGGGCCGATAAAGTGACAGGCGGTAGGAAAAGTATAGTCTGGTTTCTCTGTCATAGAAACTAAAATTTGCTGACATAAACTACGTATCAAGATCAAGGTTTCATGACGATTTCGGGTAAATGAAGTTTTCGTGACTATTTTGGGTAGGTACATTTCATTTTTGACGCTTTGTGAGCATCACGCTTACCGAGCACTGTTTTCCGAGTTTTTCCACTCATAACCATGCCGTTTTCATAAAAAGAACATTCTCTGTGAAACGCGACAATCAGGAACTATTGTAAAAGTGATAAAAACATTTTAAAAAAAGTGTAAAACGTCAAAGCCTCTTTCACAGACCCAATTAGCGATAAAAAATGCAAATTATGATATAATGGGCAGGTTTTTAAATATACAGGATCTCCGATTAGATTCAATGATAATTGAGTTTGTTTTTTTAGTGATAAAAAAGGATTAGTTTACAATCTGAGAAACGAATGCCATACCACATATTATTATATTGGTTTGGTTATTCTCAAATGTACTTATACTTCCTTTCTATTTATTAGTTTGTACTACTTTGATGTTGGCTATAGCAATTGGAATGCTAATTACTTTGTTTCCATCTTCGGCTTTATATTTACTAATTCCGAATCTTGGGGTTTATGCTTTAATTAAGATTTGCTGTAAGAGCACCAAAATGTAACATTGTGTTACCACTTTCAGTTTTTCTTCAAAGGAAATATTTAGACCTTTCAAAGCGAAAGTCCCTCAAAGAAATGGAAATTTCACATCGCGCATTAATAAGTAAATGAATTAAAATCTTATTTTATTTTCCCTTGCAGAATGCACCTAAACATCACATGTAATTACCTAAGTGGGTAATTAAGACGAACGAGGATATAGGCCCTTATAAGGGCTGTAAAAATAATGAATAGAAAAACTTTCTTAAAGAGTAATACCCATATGCCTACAAATTGGATACTGCACTCAAGAGTTCCGAATGGTAGGAAAGAGAAGTAAAGGCGATTGCAAAATTTAACATGTATCTACAAAGCATTTGTTCCACATCATACAACTAAATTACCCTTCAATAGCAAAAGTAATGCGGTTGTAGCTGCAATCACAAATCTACAATACAATTTCCATTTATTGAAACTAGCTTACCACATGAATAGTACATTGCTCATATGCATACATTTGGCGGTGGCCGCCTGTAAATCAACCATTATTTTTATTTCATCGGCGATGAAAGAATCGCAAAATATATACAGCGCGAATTGGAAACAGGCCCAATATAAAACAACCTCATTAAGGAAATAACAAACAACTTAACAAACGGTAAAATCTCTTGCGATGTAAATCTTTGATAAAGAAACTTTTAACCTCTAAGCAACTTCTTAATTATGCTACGCCTTTTAATTATGACTGCTACGAAAACTTGTTTAAAACTCAATTGGTAATTTTAAGAATAAAGGATTTCATTTGCATATTTAAATTTTGAAATGTGGTAATTCGGTGTTGCTTTTAAACGTATATAACTTAACTGTAACGAGAGAGCCATATATGTAGGTATTGAAATAGGTGATGAAGTTGTTTTTACGATAGGGATATTTTAGCATTAATAGACTTTATCTCGAAAAGGTAACCGCCAGGATTTTCGTAATTAGCACGTCTAAGTTTCCCTTAAGAGCACGTGTATTAAGGATTACGCATCCGTCCTCGTTGTGACAAATTATAAACCCTCGGTTATGGTGGGAGATGATGTCCCTTATCAGATTTAATATTGGCGGCATTAAAAATTTTCGCAATAAAGTGGAAATGGAAGGCTTTTATCTTGAGATAAACAGGAAATGCAATAAAGTACAACGAACACAACACTTTGTTTTAGTAACAGATAAGTAATCCTCGCGTTTTAAGATGGCGGTGGATGGTCAAGTGGAAACGGAACATGTATTAGAAACGAAATCTTAAAAGTTACTTTAACCTCTTAAAGGAAATTGAAGCGTAAACAGTCTCGTGGTATGAAATAAAGCGAAACTTAGTGTAAATTTATTTTAGGTGATTAAATTTGAGGAAATTTGCATATTAATTAAAATGAAGTGAATATATAGTTTCTAACTTACCTTTCAAGACTAAGACACATTTGGTTAGATTAGGATACATCTCTGGATATCCGGGACTAGTAAATTCCTTCGTAGTAAAATCTGGATTTTCAAACTTATGGCAAGGATCATTTATATCTGATACGGGATGCATATTGTCCATGTCACTTTGTGGATATTCAGGATACATCGTTGTCAGTTCGCTATGATCATCTGCAATTGAAAGAAATCCCATTATTAGCAGAAAGAAACAAAGGTAATATCCTAATTTCGATTGACGCAAATAGCCTTTCATTTTGAAAAGTTAACGACTGCAAACTATGTGCTTATTCTAATTTTATTGTAGTCTTTACATTTACATTTACACAAATTCTCAAGATTTCATTACTTATATGCTACTTATGGGACTAAATACAATAAAATTCGGGCAATATCAGAATCCCATATTCTAGTGGCCGTTCTATTTTGCCAGAGACAAGTCTCTTATAAAGCACTCTAATATAAAGCAAGTTCGTTTTATTGTGAAATCGTGCTCTCATAAAGTCGCATATGAAAAATATCAACACTATAAGCATAACTTTCATGTTCTAACAAATATGATTAATTTTACACACTACTGACCACATACATTTTTTCGATATTGTGGTATAAGAACTTTTAATTGTGTGGGAAGTACTTGGCTAGGATTTGAGTGAATAGTGACCTTATGAAGGTAACGGTAGGATTTCAATAAACCTCTGCACATAATAGCTATTATTGGTAAGGAAAGATCATTAGCATATGTGCGACATAGATAACCATGAAATAAACCCCCTACATTCACAATAGCGTCATTTTTCGATGTCAAATTGTTAGATACCCGCATAGTGCACTATGGTACAAACTAGTAACATTTCGGTATGATCTATACGCATTCATCATTCCTACAACATACCTCAACTGGTTTGATTCTGTCCACCAGATCAGCGTATAGCTTGTAGCCGCACTTCTACTCAGAAACGGTACCACGTTATCACAAATTCACAACCCATTCGTATTCAAAAAACCTAAACGCAAAGCCAAACAAAGACTTACACAATAAACAACGCCACTTAATTTAATTGCTACACTTGTAGGAAATGTGTGTTTTTATTTTATTTTATTTTTTTTTTTATTATACGAACGACGTACAGACAAACACTAATCGTTACTTGATTTTAATCCGTGCGATTAGTTAACCAGGCTAGACCTGAGTTCTGACAAGAAAGACTGACCATAATAATAATAACAGCGACTTTTTTTGTACAGAGAATCATAACCATTTCAAAAAAATGTGTAAACAGTAACAACTAAGGAAAAAATCTCAAGGCGGAGTTCATCGCATCTTACGGTCATATATGATCCCGTGTAATTAAATATTATTACAGTGCCACCAAGCTCAAAAAAGCCCCGGAAAATATGCCAACTAATTTTTAAATCATCCAAACTTTCCAATAAGTTTACATTTTGCTTCTTGTTTTTACGTTTCCGTCTGCGTTTTACACAAACTCGTCTTTTTCAGGACACATATATAGCTTTTGGATTTGGTAGCTTAAATCACTTTAACGAAGGCTTATGGTTTGTCCCTTAAAACCTAGCTTAAAACTGTCCGTCCGATCAGATGTAAGTGCGTGCACCCAGTAGCCCTTTGACCGCAATGACCTCTGCGCAGTGACCATTGAGAGAGTGTAATTCGGCCCTCCTGCCCCTTCCTTCGGTTTGGAGCCACCTGTGTATAGGTACCAGCATAAGCTTTTTTTCTCAAACGCTGGACTGTTCTTCCAGACCTCCTTGGCCGGGATCACCACTTTACAGGGCTTGTCTTGGCGGCATTCGAGAGCAATGTAGGCTGAAATCTTGTAGGAAACAAAAGTTATTAACTTTACGTATGAAAATGAACAACCGTGTAACGATCTCTTTGATGATACAATAGCTGTAATAGCGTATATAATTAAAATATATTCTACTAAGCTCGCCCATAGCGTCCATAGGGAACTGCCCTGTGTAAGTGTAACAAGAGGTTTATAAGGATAATTTGATTTACATCACCTTCTGTAAGAAGGCGACCTGTAATACTCTAGTTTTATTTACCTCATTAATTTTCTTAAACCCTTACTAATTATTAGCGAAAATGTCCTTTAACGTTCATGCTTCATGTCCGTGTGACAGATCGAAATGCGAGTCTTCTTATTTAGAGATTTTTACAGTGACATACTTTTTCATTTAAACAAAATGCATCGATTTTGTAATAAAATAGTATCACACAACCTGACTACACGATAAGGTTAACATGTCTCTACACGACACATTCGAAACGTAATAGGATAGTATATTTATATTTTGGTAATAATAGCAAAGAGTATATGCATTATATACTCTTTGGTAATAGTCACTGGCTGGCCCAGTTCTACGTGTCGGTGATGAATGGAGGCACTTATGTTGTACATGTGCCAAACTAAACTCTTGCCTTGCTCGTGCGTGCTTCCGAAGCCCACATAATGGGATGAAAGAGTGCAGAAGGTAGTAGGTGGAACACCACAAAAATGCTTTTCCTGTGACATTGCTTTTTAAGAACTGCTTTTTTCCACATTTGTCAATGTTTTTGTTGTCGTGCACCACCTTTTCCTGGCTTCATGTTTGATATTTTGATGCTGTAATCTCTGTCGGCAGGCAGTTTTATCTTATTTCCGAGTCCGATGCATATTTCGTGACACTAGTGCTCGATCTTTTTGAATTCGTTCGTTATCTATAAAGTAGGTAGTCTGAAATTTAGTTTCATTCAATTGCTCGTCCATTTGTGTCGTGGGATTTAATGCGTTCGTGGTGAGTTACTCCCACCGTTTACCAGCTCTTTTTTGAAACTCTTCACGTTCTCAATGAACTGTTTATTTTCGAAACCATACACCCATAATGTCTGTGCGTCTTACCGAGCATCAAATACGCATTTGAAAACTGCAGTAAATTCCTCGCTCATAAAGTAGCAAAATACTACTTACTGTTTTTTATATTACCAAATAGCAGATAATTTTCATTCAGTTTGTTTCTAGTTTTGCTTTTATAACATGGATCTATAGTAATAATTGTAATTAATCTTATAACAACCAAGAAAGTTGGATTGTGCAAAAGTACGGAGATTTATTGATAATATTCTCGTTCACACCTCAAGGTAACTTTATATACAATAAACACTTGCAGTATGATATCAAGGCTGAGATTTCAATCGTTCGGACAGAAGGAAGGGCAGAACTCATACAGGCGAATGTAGTCTGCTATCTTTGTCTATAGATTATTGTTTTTAGGGTCGGTTTTTCCATCTCTCGATACATTTGTTCGGTAGGTCTGTACCATGACAACGATTGTATCTAGAATGGTATCCATGGAATTTATTCGGAGATTGAGAGTTGGAAAAACGGGGCCTTAGTGTCTATATACTCTTATCAACTTTATAATAATGTATCATTATACACGTAAAGTTAAATCCTTATTGATTGGTCCTTCTCATATTTTTAGCGCATTTTTGAAAAAAATACGCTATTATATTCGTTATTGCTGGCAGGCCGGCTGTCCGCGTTAGATCTCCACAACTACAATAGCTAGAGACTTTAAATTTTCACTAAAAGCTTTCTGCTATAGTGTAGATGTGCAGGCACTAGTCTATTTTGAGTTAGATTACTTGTGAGATCGATAATTGAAGAAAATAATTTCGATATGGGTTTCGGAGGTGCTATAATTTTACCGTTAGATAGCGCTACTAGTATAAAAACTTATTATTTACTTTGTGATTTGTTTTACAAAATGAAGACGTATCGTCAATTGAAATTAAATAAAATTAATTATTTAACGCAGCCAAAATTACTCGTGAGATCGATAATTTTAAACTTCGCTAATAAAATACTGACCTGCATTACCAAAAATGCGCTTTAATCATGCATATGCTGATTTACAACTTGTTTTATATATACTTCTTGATATTTATGCGCCTTGTACTCAAATTAACATTCCAAGTGCCTAAGAAATATGATATCGATACATAAGAAGTATAATTTTATAATACATTCTTTACGACTAATAAGTCCTTTTGAAATCATATTTCTCTTAATATTAATAGTATAAAGAAAAATGTTACAGGCTTACTAAACTACAAACGGATGAAGCCATCAAAAGGGACCAGCCGCAAATTATATACCTTTGCTAATTGAAGGGCGTATAATTAAACCTGACGATAGTGTGGACCCGACCGATTAATTACACATCACATAAAGATTATTATAAAAAAATGGAATTCCCTAAATCTTGAAGTTAAGTTATTATATTCATTAGTTTACGAAAGCTGTAATGATTTCTTACATAAATGATTGTGTTCAAGATTCTATTGAGAGTGTCCCTTGATCCTTGTATTTGATTCTAATCTCCTATAAGTTCTTTACTGCTATAGTGCTATTTACTCCGCTAGAATGAGGTTTCTGGAATGATTGGAAGTACGTAGTTTCCAATTTCTCCTTTGGCGGACTTCAAATAAAGACCGCAAGCAACTAACCAATTCTGACATACATATTATGTTACTGTAAAACCCCGAAAAGCAGTAAATCCTAGAATTAACGCGCACCAATTTCATCTGGTGGAAATTCGAAAAAATTTATCATCAGCATTATAAACAGTCCAGGGAAAAAAATACGAGATTCAAAAGAGCCTAACCCAAAATAAAACTTAAAAACAAAAAAATAAGTACTACAAAAAACAACGGTATCTTGATTGAAACTTGTAACAAAGAAGACCTAAACAAAATGGCAAATAATATTAGTTTACAAAAAGATTTAATTACAATGGTTCCTAAGCCTAAGAGACCAAAATTGCTCATATACGATGTACAGAGAACTAGAAAAAGAAAACATTATAGAAACTAAATTTAACGGTAGGAGAATAAGTTAACGACACAATTAATAAATGAAAAAATAAAACTAAATTTTAAGACAGGGCCCAAAAACAATAGCACTGTACAGTGGGTAATTGAGGCATAAGCTGAAATTTGGGAAAAATTATGAAGTCTGGGGAAAAGTTCAAAATTTTATTTCATTAGTAAAGATGTTATAAATGTATAAATGTCAGAAGAAAAACGAATACAAGAAAAAGAAGATGTAATGCAAAATTATAAACAACAAAAAATGCATACTACAAAAAAATAGTTATAGCAAAATAGAAAACTTTACAACACTTCATTATCCAAATAGAAATGAAGAACCATGAGGGGCGATATATAAAATATCTTAAAGATACTAGAATAGAAACAATTCCTAATACAGTCTAGGATGAGCAAAATAATAAATATACATGCACATGGATATCTACACCTAATCATTAATAAAAATTCTAATTAAAGATTACTTTATATAAACAAAAAAGATTAATTTCGGAAGAAAAACCTCAGAATTATGAAATAGAAAAATCGCACACAATGAAATTGCTAATGCAATAAATAGACAAAAAGATAGGATAAGCATCTGATACCGATAACTTAATAAAATGCAGTAAGAAATATGTAAAATGTTTACACATTTTAATACCCTATAAATTTATGTTTGTATTTTTGAAGCAAAAGTTTTCGGTGCATTTTTGTGTGTATCATTAAAATATTAATTTTGTTGTTTTATGTTTTTTCTTTTTTGCGAATCCGTTTCGAACTTGTAAATCTTAAGATTGGCCGCTTTGGCTTGGTAAAAGCACAAAATTAAATAATTGACACCATTTTTCGCACACTTGCCACATTCAATTGGTAAATCCCGGGTTTAACTCGTCTATCCTGGGCTACATCAATTTTCGACAGTAACATATTATACCATATACATGTGCAAGAACATAATTCAGAATTGTTTACGCACTCCCGTCTAGGAGCCCGAAAGGATCAGAAAGAACATGCCAACACTTGAATATCAGAATGTTATAGTACATATCATATTCTCGTGTTGTGTAACGTACATAGTTAATTATAACGGGCGATCAAAAATGAGTTGCTGTCGAGTCGCCTTTGGAAGTTCAAATTAAATATGATTTTCCATGTAAACATTCCAAAGGTGACTCGACAGCAACTCATTTTTGATCGCATTGTATGTAAAAATATGAAGGCGCATACCTGCTTTGCTTTGGAACATGGAAATTTGAACCAGATTCGTCGCGACAACCACTGAAACAAAATGTCACATTAGCTGTTGTTGCTGTAAAAATTCTATAGCTAATATATGTTAAAACAACTTCATCCGTCCTGTACTTTTAAAATTTGTCAAGCTCCGATTTTTTTGCGAACGCATGAAAGGTAAATACAATTATATAATATTGAGTGATTACATTTTATTTTATAGCATATGTTAAAATGACATTTTAATATCTTTGAATGAGTAGACTAAGCAGTTCTTTAACCGTAAGAATAGATAAAGAGAAACAATTGATTGTGCATACTAATGACATCTGTCATTCTTGTTTCAAATGCGCGATATAAAATGACGTTCAGAACAATTGACTATTCTGTTTCTATGGAAACGATCGCTACGGCAGAACCTAAGCTTGCTATTTTTGACGTCTCTAAATTAAATTCAGAATTGTCAGAAGCTTTACATTGATTTATATGGCTTCTGCCATATTTTCACGACGATAAAGGGAAACTATCTCGTGAAAGTTAATTCACTCAATGGTTAAAACATCCCTTTATCGTCTTGTATAATAAATAACTATTAATCACGGGTTACATACATATACGTATAAAACAAATAAACTGTGAAAATTACGCTAAAGTAAGAAGTAGTGGGGTAGCAGAAATAAATAGACTCAAATACATATTCTAACATTTATTACACCAATTCCTTTTCAAGTGAAACATCAAACACTTCAATACAGCAAATGAAGGAAACACTTTGAAAGGGTTCCTTCAAGATATTTACGACTTATTTTACTTCTAGTAGAATGTGAGGACGTATTTAAAATGTCGAATCATGAGTGAATTCATCGTATTGACTGTAAAATTCACAATACTTGTACCAATTTAATAGTTCATCATCAACGACAAATTAAATTTAGAATGGAGGTTGAGGAACTGAAAACGCTGAAAGGTAGATCGGGATCGGGATGGTAACGACATCCTTCTTATCAATCAACATTCCTTGAAATCGAAAGACACGAGCCAAATACCTTTATTGCATACGATAGACAATAAGATAAAAATTCAGTGAAGTTATGAAAAAATTCCTTTCTAAATACAAAAAATTGCGATCTTAATTCTAATTCTGTTTGTAACTTATTTCAAAAGAAATATTAACATGGAAACCCTAAATCAAATCTCGTGCAAAACCCGAGGCAACACCAGTACACCTATACCCTGTTTACCAGAGAGTGCTGACTGCACCCGGTGTGTTCTGCCAAAATGATAAAAGTTTCAATCTGCAATATTTTGCAAATATAACATTATCAAACTCAGAGAAGGGATACATTTTACAAAGATATATTACGCTCTATTGTGCTATTTAAAATTTTGATAGTTGCGTCCAAGGTAGTAAGAGATGACAGAGATTAGTGGAGTCGCAATAGATCTCTTCGAACGTGTCTTCTTAAAATTTACCTTCACCTACCAGAAAATTGAAATTAAACGACTAAAAGATAAACGATTTGTAATTTCTTTTTAAGCCCGAATCTTTATTTTCAGAGCAAGTTATATTAATAGCCGTTATAATTTTGCGATCGCGTTAAAGATAAATGAAAGAAAATTTTCCTTTTTGCTTTTAATTTTTCTTATCTAATTCGCTCACTTCGTAATTTACTTTTTTGTTGCTCTTCCATTAGCGCAGTGTTATAAACAAGACACACTAATTACTACGCAACGTCCGAAAAATGCATATTTGGAAAACAAAAATGGATGATATACTTTATTCTTTTGTTAGTATAACTAAGGTATAACGAAATAAATAAAATAAGAATACCAAAACTAAATTGAAGTTTAAATAGGAATGTCGTTTGCAGGCATTGTTAAGACAAAGTTAAGGATAAAGAGTTTTTCCGGATTTGAAGGAATTGAAATTGAACGTGAACAACTTTTTTTGTAATGCAAGACACCGAATAGCAATGTAATTGCTATACAGTTGTTTAAAAAACAATCATTTTATTATGAAATTATGACAAATTATAATTACGTGTCGTTTGATCTGTTACGCAATAAGAGCATGCCAGATCATTAAAATGGTAATTGGCAATGCCTTGAGAACCGCAGTAGAATTTCATTTTCAGAGAAAGAAAAGGGTTTACCGCAGGCAGGAATTTAATAACAATCACTTCTGTACGTAATTTTGCTTGTACCTGCCACGAGTATTTTCTTCGTAAATCTAGCCCTTGTCAATGGCCCAACAGTATAGTATATTAAGATACAAGTGTATAATCAAGTCTTTAAAGCACGCGCAACGAGTTTAAAGGCACGACGCAAAGCGGAGTGCCTTTAACGTTGCAAGTGCTTTAAAGACCAATTATACACGTGTATCTTATAGTATTTTTTATTATACCTGCAGTATAATTTAAAAATAGGAAATACATACAATGAAGTCATATTGACGTTATACTCGAATACATGTCTAATTAAGTGGGCTGGGTGTTCGTAATTTCACGATAGCCATGGAAATGTCACTTGACGTTTACTTATAAAAATCGTCGTCTTTGTGAATAAAACGATTTCCGTTGAAAAAGATAATACACCGTCCATTAAATCGCTTGTTGTAAAATCTAAACAAACGTTAGTAAGTTTAAAATCTCAATCCAGTAAAGCCTATTATCAAGCATATGAAAAGTTGTTTCCATGGATGAATAGGAAGTTAATTACGAATAAAGTCTTAAATGCATCGATAATGCTGGCATATATGAAGGAAATGTCAAAGGTATTTAAATATTCTATCCTTTGGTGCATTCATTCAAAACTTCACTTATTGCTGGGACTAAAAAGTGGAACAGATTTGGAAGCATACCCTAAATTACGCGCGTTTGTAAAAGCTTCAACCAAAGGATAGGTACAAGCCAAAGAAATGTTCTGCATTTATAGAAAGCGACCTAAGAGGATTTTTTATTTCAGCCTCAGATGACAGTTTCAAAAGTCATACTTGACATATCGTTACTTAGCAACTTTAAAGCACGTGTGTTTTAAAGGCCTTTTTTCGCACGCATTTGAGTGTTTAAAACGGAGATTGTGATTCAGGTATAATAAAAAATTACTTTTTTTCACTACTAGCGTCTGATGACATGATTATTAACCTTTTTTCCACTTGTAAAGTAGGCTTTCTCGGCATTTGTTCAAAGTGGTTAATAATTTTTTATTATTAACTAGTAGTCAATAATGAAAACTGTCATGCTGTCACTTTTAGAAAACACAACCCGAAATTTCGCTCAATGAACGTTTAGACAAGTTCTCTAAAACGAATAATTGCCACCATTCGCAATTTCCAGAGAAATTACATACCTAAAATTATCACATTTTGAAAACATTCGAATGAAATTACTCTTTGAAAAATCTCAATGACAGAACAAAATACGGCCTGTTTGACTTGTACTTCCACGTACTTGATTGACATGTTAAATTAAGAAACAAACAATTCTGTCCAACCGTTAACTCTCTTATCAATATAATATGTTAATTTAGAGGATTTCAAGTGCTAGTAGTGAAAAAAATAGTATATATACCACGGTAGAGAAGTCTATTATTGCCTTCGCACCTTACACCCCTCGGCGCAAGCGCCTCGAGATGTAATCTTGGTGCTCAGGCAATAATAGTGGACTTCTCTACCTTGATATATAATGTACTATTATATCACGTTAACTTGTGTAATCAAGGTAGTAGCGCCAACACCTCCTGATAATTCTAAGAAGGTTGTTCCTTGCTTGCACTTAATCTAAAAATTATAGTTTGCGATCGCGCCCAGAGCTATGTTGGTACAGTGCGGCTTGCCATCCTTATTAGGTAGGTCCACAAATATTAAACCGTCCTCTATGTTTGAATTGATATCATGGTTTTTTTGTTGCCAATTGGAGAAAACAGCTGCGCTCAGCGAATGCATGACGACAGGTACGCATTTGGTGAAACACAGTGCAAACAGTGGTTTCGAAGGTTCAGCGAAGTGGTGATTTTGACGTGTTAAACGTTAAAGTTTGGATGAACTTCGTCAACGCATCATCGAAAGCGGCCATGATATCCCACAGCATGTTTTCGAAAATGTCCTTCACGAATTTGAACATCGGCCCGTATGAATAAAAATAAGCAAATGCTTATACTTGCAAAATTCAAAGTAAATACTCGTAACTGCCCCTTCATACTGGTCTGTTTAGCAGCGCTGCACTGCGTCCTGTCCTACTGCTTAGCAGCGCTGCTAAGTCGCCCAGTGCGGAGGAGCACTTACGAGTACTTACTTTGAATTTTTCAAGTATAAGCATTTGCTTATTTTTATTCATACGGGCCATTGCCTACATTATTGTTTAGCCAATAACGGGCAACATTTTGAACACTTATTTTATTGAAATAGAAAGTGGTATTTTCACCGAACTTGGAACTTTTATTAAACTTACATTCCAATGGCTACGGATGCAATACACACCAATTTAATGGAAAATTGTTGTAGTGGTATAATTAGGGTTGTACAATTACCTACACGTAAATACATATGTATTTCGTTTACGGAATGAAATTGATTTAATGCTACAAAATGTGCTTCCTAATAGTAAAGTGTCAACTGTACTTTGCTTTTTGATTGTTAGGGTAAGGTACAATCAAACGTTTGACTATGAAACAAAATTAGCTATGGAAGGGTTCCTTGGGGATATCTACGAATATGAAATTACATTTTCAAATGTCACAAATTTAAACTTAACATTTAACAACAGGCTTAAATCTTTGACATTCAGTCTAAAATATAAGGCGAAATTCTGAATCCTAAAAACTGAAACTTAATAGTATATTGAAAGACAAGTGTTACGATGCGACCTATTGTAATACGACTATCTTGCGGCACGAGTGGCGACGCGAAGCGTAGCTACGAGTGTCCGCAAGATAGGAGTATTACAATAAAGCTTTGTAACACGCGTTTTTCATACTATTTTTTCTATTTCGGTGTTTTAATTTAATTAAAAAAATCATTATCAGAAACTATAGGGAACATTAGAACTAAC